TTCTAATTCTTGGAATAAAACTTATATAATTCAATGTGAAATGCAAAAGCACAAGTAGGCCTATATATTGCTCGTTGAGGACTTTTTAAAGAATTGTGCATTGCAATTAAACAAACCATTATGAAAGAAGTTGTTTAATGTTATTTTAAAATTAATTTTTAAAAATCACAAAAAACGTATAGAAAAAAAGCAAATGTTGTTTAAGTTTCTAAAGTATGACTAAACATGCACCTTAAGCCTGTAGCGACTGAAATAATGTTCGAACCTCGCCCGCCCCACTCCTCTCTTCCCCCGCCCACCACACACCTCTCTTCCCCATCCCCCACCTGCCCTCTCAGGTTGTCTTAATGTCTTGGCAAAAACAATTTTCTTTCGCCTGGAGCCACTCGTTTGTGAACTGATTATCCATAATGGATTTCGTTCCCCCAGTTCTCCGACATGTCATGATTTTAACTCGTAAACCACATGATTGATTGCTGACTTTTAAACGTTAATAATATAAACACGATTTACACACCTAGGATAGTCATCGGGAAATTATTTTTAGCATAAGTCATATATATATATATATATATATATATATATATATATATATATATATATATATATATATATATATATATATATATATATATATATATATATATATATATATAAAGAACAAAACTATTCATCACAAAAAAAATAAAATGCTACGCAAAATATAAACAGAACACAACCAAAGACAAGAAACGCATCACAATCTGTTTTGTAGTCCCTGTAAAAAACAATATTTGACATAAATGAATATTAATTAACACAAGCGAACTAAGGTAGAGATGAAATAATTACTCTCTTAATTTAGACATGTAGGCCTATAGGTCTACACATTTAATTATAATTGTCAAATTTAACCAGATCAATAATTACTTTATTACTTAATTTTAGAAGCTTTTTACTATGTTTTTACAAAAAAATGATGGTCTTCTGTCAGAATTAAATATATTTAATCAAAAACGCTGAAACATAACAGTATAAAGCCACGATTTGATAAGTTAGCCACTATGTAGGCTGTAGATCAACTTGCGACGAATGTGATATTTAGGGTACATATCATGACGGTTTTTACTTCGTAGATTCAGTAATGTGTTTACTTTTTTGTTTGCGTGTGTTTATTTAATTATTCTCCGAAAAAGGCGCTACTAGCATATCCTAGCCGTTATCGGCTAAGTTATGCTCCACGCATTTAAAGCAATTCCCAATCTTAAATGTTTATGTACATATGTTTGTTTTTTTACAAATTGTTTTAAGAAAAATCAAAGAGATTTATATAATGCAACGCACAAAATAGCAACCGCTCGTGATTCTAAATATTAACCTACACATTACCTGACTCTCCTCAATTACACGGTTCGTTATACAAATATAGTAAGCATCAAAAAAACCGCTGTTTACTTACTTCCCCTCACCTCGTGATACAATTAAAATAGACAAAAATAAAATATTGGAATTGTATCATGTAAGAGTAGATAGCTTTTTACACCGTAAAAGTAAACAATTTCAAAGGATAAAATTAACGTAAACAGAAATAAACAGAGAATACTCTTATATAACACTACGGGGGATGGCAACTCGGATATAGACAATATTTTTAATCCATTTTTAATTGCTGAAACTTTTCAAAATAGAAAAGAATTTCGTAGAAAAAAGAATTGCGCACCAAGTTAACGCCAAACAATATGTGTATAATATTGCGCAATATTATTAGTACTTTGTAAATTCACATGCGTTTTTTTTTTTTTGAGAAATCGGAAATCGCGAAAATTACTACTTCTGGTCAACGGAAAATACTAAACATTTGATAAAAGGCAGAGAATTAGATCTTTTACTTATATGTGAAACTGCATTTAACTGTCTGAAATAGTACTCAAGTTATAGGCTTTTGAAAAACAAAAAGTAGAATAAGTTCTACTTCCGGTTACCGGAAATCGCTGAAACGTTGTTAAGAAACTACAAATTTGATGTAATATTTGTATATTGATTTTCATCAACCTAGCTGTAACGGTAATCTAGTTATCGTGTTTACAGTCAAACACACGCAGACATACGGACAGAATTGCAAAACCTAGTTTTTCCGACTCGATTACGCATAAAACGTTGAAATTTTGATAAATCCGCATTTATTATTTTTGCCCGATTAAAATAAGTCCCCTATACCCCGTAGGGTATATGATGAAGTACTGAGGTGTAAAACGATGAAAACTGGAAATTTCATGTGATTTTTGTGCACGATTTCAATAATTATACGAGAAAGTAAAAATGAAAAAATTGCATAACGTTTCAATAACAAGCTTTTATGTAATAACTAGCCATCGGTACCCGTTTCACGCGAATTATAGGCCTATATATTTTAAAATGTTGTACTTGTTTCAGAAAAATAATTTATGAAATAGTTATTGGCAGTGGCGGAACTAGAAAAAAGGGGCCACCCCGCAAAAAAACATTTTAGGCCCCCCCCCATATAAATATATAGGCATATATATATATATATATATATATATATATATATATATATATATATATATATATATATATATATATATATATATATATATATATATATATATATATATATATATATATACTCAAACACAAAATACGAACATAGGATACTTATTGCTGGCCTGTTCGTGTTATGAGAAATACGTGGTTTTTTTTTAATAAAACAAATTACAACATCATGTCTATTATTGTCATGTAAGTGCATTAATCTGTTTTGTGAAAATCAGTTTTTTATTATCTCTGCCGAATTTCCTCTAACCTCATCGGTCAAAAGAATATAAAACATGAAAGCTTTCTGTAAATAATGGTGTCTCGTGTCATGTTCGTTTTTATGTTTTTTTGTATTTATTTTATTAATTTTAAATACATTTTCTTTCTATACAGTGTCATTCTTTAGTAAGTAATTTATAAACAAATAATAATAAAGAGAAGTAATTGCTTTTTAATTTATTTAGTACAAATCTATTAAAAAGAGGCTTATGAGCATCACTATTTGACTATTTAAAAAGGGGAAATAAGTCATGGAAGTGGTTTGAACGTTTGCTTATCTTTGATAAGTTTGATTGTAGGAGAAAGAGGACTCGGCTTTCACAGTGGTTTAAAAACGAAGGAAAAATGAGCGTTGGGTGGTGTCTATAGAATAAAGATAATCCAACCGCATCTACGGTAATCTTTTTTACAAAACAAACATTAAGTCAAAAATGCAAGAACATTTTTTGTTTTAACTATAACAATTTTTTATGGTCGGCCGTGGGCCCCTAAATGGCGTGCCCCCCCCCCCCCCCGCATTGCGGGGTCTGGCGGCACTGTAGTTCCGCCCCTGCGCCCAGGTAGGGCGCGATTTTTTTTCTCTATATACGGTATACAATAAAGTCGTTTGCGGTTTGACACCGTTCATCACATCGCCGTCAAACGTTGTGTAATTGATATGAACAGTCCAGGGGAGGTTTCTGCAAAAAAATTCTTTTAATTTCGCAAGGGCCGCGCCCCGGGAGGGTGAGATTTTTCTCTATTAGTGTATATGAAAAAAATAAAAGCGGATTGTGGTTTGACACCGTTCATCCGAGTTCCATACAACTTTGGGGGAGTTGATGAGAATACTCCAGAGAAGGTTTCTGGGGGGGGGGGGTAATTTCACACAAGCGGCTCCCAGCAGGATGCGATTTGGCGCCCCGGTCTTTCCCGTGAGCCTACGTTCGTTTTAAACTGTTAAATTGAATCAGGCGCGTTGGCCGGCGCCCAGGCATGGTGCAATTTGGCGCCCAGGGTTATCTCGTGAGTGCTATGGCACCTACATTAGTTTTAAACAGTGCGATAGACTATGGATAAGATGAGGCGTTTAGTCATTCACTAAATTGAATCAGATGCGTTCACCGGCGCCCGACAGGGTGCAATCTGGCGCCCCGGGCTATACCGGTGGCGCTATGGCAAATATTTTCTTTTTAAAGAGTGTAATAGAATATGGATAAGAAGTAGTATTATAGTCGTTCACTAAACTGAATCAGGCGCCTCTGACCTCGCCCCGGAAGGGTATGATTTGCCCAGGGCTTTTTCTACCTAGAGTGATTGGAAATTTTGATTTTGTTTTACACCCGGAAATCAAACAACAGCCTACAGGCATTCTTGTTTGCTCTATAACATTGTATACATATTTCTACCTTCGTCAGTCGATGGTCTTTGTTTAAGTGCTTGAGATCAGAGGCGTAGCGAGTAGGGGGGGGGCGCCGAACCTAGGGGGCGTCAAAATGGGTTGGAAAAAAAATTAAAAGCTCATTTTAGCTGCAGTCTTGTATTATAAATATTTAAAAATTTATGGGGGGTCGGGGGGGGGGGGGCGTCAAATTGTAAGTTTGTCCCCCAGGCGCCGGGAAGGGTCGCTACACCTCTGCTTAAGACACTTATCTTGTCTTCTAGGCAAACAAACACAATTGAATTTTATTTAAAATGAATCGACGCCTTTTAATATTCACACATTTATTTGTGTCTTATGTTGGTGTCTATTTCCAGGTTTCACGAATGTCAAACAAATGCTCTAATGACAATGAAGTGATTATCTATATAGAATCAGAGGTTGGAAACTTAACTACATTGTGTGTGTATGTGTGTGTGTGCGTGTGTGTGCATGTGTGTGAGTGTGTGTCACAGAATCAGGTGTACTCTACTTCGGCCTCATGGTCTTCCGGGTTTGAATGGATAACTCTACACTTTCAATGAGACTAAGTTTAAGTCTAGTCACATGTGGCCTTCTTTTATAACAATGTGTCCTCTGGTATCGAACAGTTGGGAAATTAAACAGTTAAAAATGGCACTATTATGGACCACTGTTTTGTTTCCTGCTTTTCTTTCCTTAGATTAAATTTTTAAATCACTTTTTGATTGAAGTTAGCAACCCGTTTTTTTAAATATAAACGAAAATTAAAATCTTATTTGGTACAAATAAATTGGAATAAGTGAATCAATATTTTTAAAATTACTTTTAATTAAATTTTACATGTTCAAAAATATTCTCGACAATTGGTTTTCTTGTTGTCCCTAGCAACGACATCTAGTATGTAGCTTCGAGCTTGTTGATTTTTGTTCCTTGTTGTATGCAACCGCTGATGTGGTACAGCCAGATCTTTGGGTATGTGGTGGTACAGGAATGTTGAGAGATTTAGCAGCTACTCTGGAAACTTGTTTAGTAGCCGTAACTAACTGACAGAGTTTGATCCCCGCTGTCGTAGTGAAGAGCACAGCATGAGAGGATTCCACCTTCACAGACAGCCTCTCCGTACTTGTTCTCAATGGCAGCGTCAGGACACACCTGTCAACATACCATTTTACTTTACATTTTTATCTCAATGCAGAACACAACATAACATTATCTATTTGCATAACACAACAAAATATTATTATCCCAATGCATCACACAACATAACATTATTATCTCAATGAGTTTAAAGGTGACAATGGTAGGCATGATGTTTTTTCCCACTAGTCGTTTAAGTGTTGTTATCTATGACTACACATAGCTTACAGTTTATATATGGCAACTTACGACAACTCCACGTCCAGCCAGCTCCTTTAAACTTGAGAAGCCTCTGAGATTGTCAATGTTGATCTCTGAAGCTGTGCCTGGCGTGAGTTTGACTTTAGCGATGACACCGGGAACATTATCTTCATAAGCAGCTTGTCCGTACCCGGCTCCTGCAGCTGGGTAAAGAGATCCGACTCCGGCGAAACCTCCCATTCCACCGTAACCTCCGGCTCCATAGCCAGCACCATAACCGCCAATACCACCCAAACCACCCATACCGTATCCAGAGCCATATCCAGATCCATATCCTCCACCATATCCAGCACCTAAGCCAGAACCGAACCCACCGCCGAGACCGTAACCACCGCCGATTCCAAGGCCGACTGGTCCAAGGCCGATTCCTCCATAACTAGATTGCCCTCTGTTGACATGTTTGAAAAATTTACTTTTTTTACTTTCTGGTATATACGAAGTATAGAGAAAGTCTTGTAATCGTGCAAAAAAAAAAATCGAGATTTTTACAAATCTCGACGTTTTACACCTCACTGATACGGAAAAACATAATTTTGCAATCTTGTCCGTATGTCTGTGTGTCTGTGTGTCTGTATGTCTGTGTGTCTGTGTGTAAACACGATAACTTGAGTACCGTTACAGCTAGGTTGATGAAACTTCATATATAAGTATGTTATCAAAATCGTAGATCCGTATCAACTTTTGAGCGATTTCCGTTAACCGGAAGTGGTACTTTTTCTACTTTGAATTTTTCAAAAGCCTATAACTTGAGTACTATTTCAGGTAGATAAATGAAATTTCACGTGTAAGTATAAGATCTAATTCTCTACCCTCTGTTAAATTTTGAGTAATTTCCGTTGACCGGAAGTACTAATTTACGCTATTTTCGATTTCTCAAAAAACGCATGTAAATTTATAAAGTACTAATAATATTGCGCACTATTACGCACATTTTGTTTTGGCGTTCGCTTGGCTCGCAATTCTTTTTATTTACGATATTCTATTCTATTTTTAAAAGTTTATGTAATTAAAAATCATGTCTATATTCCGAGTTATAAAAGAATATTCGAGAAAGTTAAGGGGAGATCACTCCCGGTTTATTTATTTTATTGCTCTTGTGTCAAATTATTAAACTCCACTAAACTTGTTTACACAAATTAAGAAAGATGTAATCAGTGACGATTCAAATTATTTTGAAATAGCATATAAAATACATGAAAGCTTACTAGTTTCATATGCACGTTTATAAGATCTCATTCGGCGTTAGAATTAGACTCGCCTTTTTTTCGGCATAAGATTGTTGAACAAAAGTGAGCATTTATATTACGCTTTGTTTAGTGTTTTCTGGTGGGTGTTTGAAGAGATCGTGATAAATCTACAACTTACGAGTAAAAGGTACCGAAATCTTCAGCATAGCAGCCTCTCTCTGGTCTAGCTCGCTCTGTGAAGGCAATAGACACGGATCCGCCGACCAAAGAGAAGAGATCAATTGATGCTGAAAGACCTCCTTGTTGAAAGGGAAACAAAGCGGGGCCCATCTGAGGGAAGAACATCATGTTCGTAAGTCGTTTAGAACAGAAAGAGATATGATGTCATTAGAAACGTTATGACTACATGTTAGGGTGGGGGAGTTGAGGGGGGGGGGGGGCAAGTGAAAATTGTCAAAGTCTAGAGCTTTACAAAGTTAAATCATGTTACTTTACTAACTTAAAATACTGGCTTGACTGACTTAAAATATTTGAGTTTTACTACAAATTTTAAGCTTACCCCGCCGTATCCTGCTTGCTTATCTTTTATAGTAACTGCAATGGCATTGACGATTCCCGATGAAGGCTTATAGTGATCGGTGAAGTTCACAGCACAAGTTAGAGTCAACGGCCCTGGAGAACATAACATCATAATCAAACGGAGGGACATCGCCGTTTTGATATAACATAAAGCTATATAAACATGCAAGTGTCATTTAGGATGAAAATAATTTACCTTTTACATAGCCTTTAGCAATTGGAATTCCTGGGTAAATTGGCGCAATGCCGAATCCAGCAAATGGGGAAATAGCATGGCTGCCAAGGATGGTTAGTGTCACAAAAGAGAGGATGAATATCTTTGCCATGGTTATGTTTAACTTATTCTCTGTGAAAGCAAAAATTAGGGGAATGATTTATTTACAAAGGCTAAACAGTTCCTCTTTATATTCTTTTAAAAATAAATACGTTTCTAGCTGAATTTATTTCAGATAAATTGATTTCATGAAATATTTTCTTTTCATAATATGCTGTAATGTTTTAGATTACTTAGAATGTTCTTTATACTTCACCTGTTAATTTACAAGTACTAAATTGACTGTAGTGTATGGTCTAAAATGAGTGAAAAATGTAGTCGTGTTGTTTAGGACGTCCTACCTCCAGCTGCTGTTGTTTACTGCTATCACGGGTTTACCTGGTTACAAGATCTCCTCTGTAACGATGAGATCCCCACCGGCGCTGACAATTTATACCAGCAATCACGCCTCACCCTCCATTAGGAAACGATCACGATTTTAAACTTAATAGATTTTAAGGAAAGGCTGATGCCTTTAGGCTTTAGATTCTAGGATTGGTCGTATTTTTTCACTCTAAAATTGATTTTGGAAGTGTCAAAATGAATCATGTGTTGATAGATGCATGTACACACACACTTTTGCGACTTTACTAAGATTATATTTTTAATTTTAAAAAATTCAATACCAGAGATATTTATTGACGTCATACCCCTCACAGTTTGTTAACTGACTAAATAGTCATTTTATATGTTGTTAACTGACGTCATACCCCTCCCTCACATTTTTAATGGACGTCATACCCCTCCCTCACATTTTGTTAACTGACGTCATAACCCTCATATTTTGTTAACTTAAGTCCAACGCCTCATAGTTCCTTAATAATTAACTGACGTAACACTCTTCACCTTTTGTTAAATGATGTCATACCCCTAACATGTGGTTAACTGACATCATACCCCTCACATGTAGTTAACTGACTTCATGCCCCTCACAGTACGGTATTAGTGACAAAACATAGAAAATAACTAAATAGCTAAAAATTCGACACATTTATAATAACATAGGCTGTCAATACCAATTACAAAAATTAATAAACCGGGAGTGATCTCCCCTAAACTTTCTCGAATATTCTAATATAACACAACGTGGGATGGCAACTCGGAATATAGACATGATTTTTGTTTACTTAAACTTTTAAAAATAGAATAAAATCTAGTAGAAATTAATTGCACACCAAGTGAACGCAAATAAAAAAGCGCATAATAGTGCGCAATATTATTAGTACTTTTAAAATTTACATTAGTTTTTTGAGAAATCGGAAGTAGCGTAAAGTACTACTTCCGGTCAACGAAAATTACTCAAAATTTAACAGAAGGTAGAGAATTAGATCTTTTACTTACATGTGAAATTTCATTTATCTATCTGAAATAGTACTCAAGTTATAGGCTTTTGAAAAATTCAAAGTAGGAAAAGTACCACTTCCGGTTATCGGAAATCGCTCAAAAGTTGATACGGATCTACGATTTTGATAAAATACTTATATATGAAATTTCATCAACCTAGCTGTAACGGTACTCAAGTTATCGTGTTTACACACGGACACACAGACAGACAGACAGACACACAGACAGACACACAGACATACGGACAAGATTGCAAAATTATGTTTTTCCGTATCAGTGAGGTGTGAAACGTCGAGATTTGTAAAAATCTCGATTTTTTTTTTTTTTTGCACGATTACAAGACTTTCTCTATACTTCGTATATACGAGAAAGTAAAAAATCAAATTATTTACAAAAATTATATTATTACATAACTATATAACTATATAACTATATAACTATATAACTATATAAATATATAACTATATAACTATATAACTATATAACTATATAACTATATAACTATATAACTATATAACTATATAACTATATAACTATATAACTATATAACTATATAACTATATAACTATATAACTATATAACTATATAACTATATAACTATATAACTACGAGAAAAATGGCCCGTTGAGGAAGGATACACCGGGCGCTAGGTTGATAGTGCTGTCTCTTTTCTCTAAACTAAAACCAACCCACCCCCCCCCCACACACACCCCCACCCCCCCACCCCCCCAAAACACACCACCCTTCCCACCCCCAACCCACCCCTACCCCCCACCCCCACCCCCACCCTCCAAAAAACATGTCTACCGTCCCATTCAACGAAATATAATTATATACTTTTTCCAGTGTCCGCCCCCTCCCCGAAAATTCTACCCCCGCCCCCGAAAATTTCAAGTACCCCCACCCCCCTCCGGGGAGGAAAAAGTCTAAACTAAAACCACCCCCCCACACACACACCCCCCCCCCACACACACCACCCCCCACCCACCCCCCCACACACACACCACCCCACCCCCCCCCCCTAAAAAAAAACATGTCTACCGTCCCATTCAACGAAATATAATTATATACTTTTTCCAGTGTCCGCCCCCTCCCCGAAAATTCTACCCCCGCCCCCGAAAATTTCAAGTACCCCCACCCCTCTCCGGGGAGGAAAAAGTCTAAACTAAAACCTACCCCCCCCCCCCGCACGCACCCCCACCCACCCCCCCCACCCCACCCCCACCCGACACACACACACACCACACCCCCACCCCCACCCCCCCCACCCCACCCCACCCCACCCCTAAAAAAAACATGTCTACCGTCCCATTCAACGAAATATAATTATATACTTTTTCCAGTGTCCGCCCCCTCCCCGAAAATTCTACCCCCGCCCCCGAAAATTTCAAGTACCCCCATCCCTCTCCGGGGAGGAAAAAGTCTGAAAGAAACACTGGTGTCGCGCTTAGCCACTACCCGAAGAATTGCATTAAAGACATTGCAAGAAAACCACTTTTTAGATTAGACACATTAATTAGGCGGTAATTTTATTATAGAGTATCGATGAAGAAATTTCTTTTGAGCTGGGGAGGGGGGTGGGGGGGGGCTCAGACGTTCTTACGCGTGGGGTGGGGCTTCGCCCCTACCCGAAGAATTGTATGCAAGAAACTCTTCACGCAAACCATTTAGATTAGACAACATTTCCTTTTTATTCAATGTTTACGCGATAATCAATGACGTCATTATATTACTGTGTGCACTTTCCGCCTTGAGATTATTTTCAACTCCATGCTAAATGTGTCGACGTCATACTTCGTCTTTCGTTTCACTGTGAGAGTTTTTAATTTCCTTGTGTTTTCTCTAGAGCGTTCTTGTCAGACAGAGCGTTCTTGTCAGACAGAGCGTTCTTGTCAGACAGACAGCGAAACTATTATTATAGACGAGAAAAATGGCCCGTTGAGGAAGGGTACAACGGGCGCTAGGCTGATAGTGCTGTCTCTTTTCTCTAAACTAAAACCAACCCACCCCCCCCCCCCACACACACCACCCCCACCCCACCCCCACACACCACCCCCACCCCCCACCACCCCCACCCCTCACCCCCACACACCACCCCCTCCACACACCGCCCCCCCACCCCCCACCCCCCCCCCAAAAAAAACATGTCTACCGTCCCATTCAACGAAATATAATTATATACTTTTTCCAGTGTCCGCCCCCTCCCAGAAAATTCTACCCCCGCCCCCGAAAATTTCAAGTACCCCCACCCCTCTCCGGGGAGGAAAAAGTCTGAAAGAAACACTGAAACCAACCCACCCCCCCCCCCACACACCACCCCCCACCCCCCCCCACACACCACCCCCCACCCCACACACCACCCCCCCCCCCCTCCACCACCCCCCACCCCGAAAAAAAACATGTCTACCGTCCCATTCAACGAAATATAATTATATACTTTTTCCAGTGTCCGCCCCCTCCCAGAAAATTCTACCCCCGCCCCCGAAAATTTCAAGTACCCCCACCCCTCTCCGGGGAGGAAAAAGTCTGAAAGAAACACTGAAACCAACCCACCCCCCACACACCACCCCCACCCCCCTCCCCACCCCCACACACCACCCCCCACACCCCCACACCCCTCCACACCCCCCCCCCCCAAAAAAAAAAACATGTCTACCGTCCCATTGCAAGAAAACCACTTTTTAGATTAGACACATTAATTAGGCGGTAATTTTATTATAGAGTATCGATGAGGAAATTTCTTTTGAGTTGGGGAGGGGGGGGCTCAGACGTTCTTACGCGGGGGGTGGGGCTTCGCCCCTACCCGAAGAATTGTATGCAAGAAACTCTTCACGCAAACCATTTAGATTAGACAACATTTCCTTTTTTTCAATGTTTACGCGAGAATCAATGACGTCATTACATTACTGTGTGCACTCTCTGGTTTGAGATTATGTTCTACTCTACGCTAAATGTGTCGACGTCATATTTCGTTTTTCGAATTACTGTGCATGTTTTTAAATTGCTTGTGTTTTCTCTAGAGCGTTCTTGTCAGACAGAGCGTTCTTGTCAGACAGACAGCGAAACTATTAGTATTATTAACGAGAAAAATGGCCCGTTGAGGAAGGATACACCGGGCGCTAGGTTGATAGTGCTGTCTCTTTTCTCTAAACTAAAACCAACCCACCCCCCCCCCACACACACACCACCCCCCACCCCCACCCCTCCCACCCCCACCCCCACCCACCCCACACACCACACACCACCACCCCACCCCCACCCACCCCACCCCCACCCCCCAAAAAAACATGTCTACCGTCCCATTCAACGAAATATAATTATATACTTTTTCCAGTGTCCGCCCCCTCCCCGAAAATTCTACCCCCGCCCCCGAAAATTTCAAGTACCCCCACCCCTCTACGGGGAGGAAAAAGTCTGAAAGAAACACTGGTGTCGCGCTTAGCCACTACGCGAAGAATTGCATTAAAGAAATTGCGAGAAAACCACTTTTTAGATTAGACACATTAATTAGGCGGTAATTACCCGAAGAATTGTATGCAAGAAACTCTTCACGCAAACCATTTAGATTAGACAACATTTCCTTTTTATTCAATGTTTACGCAAGAATCAATGACCATATAACTGTGTGCACTCTCTGGGTTTGAGATTATTTTCTACTCTATGCTAAATGTGTCGACGTCATATTTCGTTTTCGTTTAACTATGCATGTTTTTAATTTGCTTGTGTTTTCTCTATAGCGTTCTTGTCAGACAGATAGATAGATAGATAGATAGACAGACAGCGAAACTATTATATAGAATTAATAACTATATAACTATATAACTATATAACTATATAACTATATAACTATATAACTATATAACTATATAACTATATAACTATATAACTATATAGCTATATAACTATATAACTATATAACTATATAACTATATAACTATATAACAACTATAGAACTATAGAACTATAGAAATATAGGAATATAGAAATATAGAAATATAAATGTAAATATATATATATATATATATATATATATATATATATATAT